GTGAAGCTCTACGTTTGAAAATGAGGAAGGCTCCATTGAAAGCATAATAAAAAGTAGAAAAGTTACGTAAAAGGTACTGTGAAAACTGTACAACACCTATATTACAGCTCAGAAGAGTTCGACCTGCGTTATGAGTTTTCTCATAACACAAGTCAAAAAGCAGACAGAGCAGAAGGAAAAATATAAATACAACTCCAAAATTAATTTGTCTGTACAAGCCTCAGTGGTGGGTTGGATGTGCAGCTCATGAAGGATGCGAGTTACTATCCACCATCTAAATCCACTATGAGTCATCGAAGGTTTGATTCCACTGCAACAATTTCCAGATACATTCACAAGAGATTATATACATGAGCTAGGGAAATAAAAAGGATAAATATATCTGGAAAAGCCTAGATAAAAACCTTGGTCGTTACTTTAGACAGCTACAGTGCTTGATTCTTGTAAAAATAATAAAAATAAGACTTTGCTATAGATCTGTTTAAGTTAGAAGATTGAATCCGACTCTGATTTCTTTGTCTCCCGTCATTAGAGACCAAGATGATGTAGCATATCAACCGATGCCAGAACACTATTTTAGATGCAAGACAAACACGAGCAGGTGATTCAGCACACAACAGCAGTGGAACTAATTGGAGAAGATGAAAAATGTACCATCTGTCATTTCATAACATCCTCTCGTGAACTCCAAAGCACAGCAAGGGTGGAGAAGCTATGGATTAATTAAAAACACTTGAAATATGGATTAATTTAAAATATATATTTTAAAAGCACTGTCAATTTTGTTTTGAGAAGATACCCAATAATTTTACTCATAGAGCAATTCTAAGACTTTTTTTCCCCTAATATAAATAAATGAATAACTCATATCTAAAATATAAATCTAATCAATCTAATTATGTTACTATTAAGTTGATGTGATCATGGGTTTAAAGTTTAGTTCTAAATTTATTTCCACATGGGCTGGTGTTTTAAACTAATCATTATTTGGTAAATAATCTGAGACATACCCTAAACTTAAATTAATAATTACAAAACCATAATGTACCTTAATAAATGATCCTAAAGGATTTTTTTCAATTCACTGACTTCCAGATTATTCTTCATTTCACCTTGCTTTAACTGTTTCAGTGGTAGACCCCTGCCCTTAATCAAAACTGTATCCACAGTGCAATAAAATCACATGCATAGACCTAATAATTTCTTCATGTCAGATAATCTAAAACACAATAAAAACCCAGCATCATCATGTCATCCTAATTAAGTCTACATGAACACTCATCACACACACACACACACACACACACAGCTACAAACCACATTTCTACACCCAACAAACAATAAAAAGCTGAATACTTACAAGATGGAGACTGTGCCCTATCCTTTTTGTTTTACCAGACTGCAGATTTGCAGGGCAATGTCAATATTTTAGGCAAAAATTGCTATGATGCAGCAAGAGTAATGTCTATGTAAACGGATTAAAAAAAAAAAGGCAGAGTAAATGGTTTACTGAGAGAGAAAGGGGGAAATGTGGAGAGAAAGCGGGAGAGGGCGGGAAGACCAGACAGTGAATGTGAGAGGGCGGTGAGAAGAGAGGAGAGAAGCGAGCACCAGTGAAAACGTGTGGAAGGTAAAAAATAATTAAATGGTGGGAGGGGTGAGGAGCAGTAGAGAAATGATTAATGAAGCATATTTAAAGGTGTAAAACTAATTAATCCTTGATTAGTTCTAAAGTTTCAGGACCATGGAGAGTTCATGATATCTTATTGTGACAGGAGAATGACTGATACTCTTTCAAAATAAAAGAAAAAAAGTATAGAAAGCAAAAATGCAAATGATTAAAGCATTTTAAGACCCAGCTGTCAGACAGACTTACTGACTGAACATTAATTCACTGCTCTGAATTCATATAGAGCAGGCTCAGCTGCCGCCGCACTCCTGACAATGACAGCTAAGTGTTCATGAATCCAGCTCAACCCAGAGAAAACCTCCAGAAATAATGAATCCAACATTTCCAATTTTCTAATGCATGCCATCATGCTACTCACAAACTGCATTCAAATATTTCATCTAAAGGGTTCAGGTTAAGTCTGCATGTCTATCTTGCAAATTCTAGCCACTGCTGAAACATGTGATTTCACAGACTGTGGTCCCACTTCTGCAGCTGCAATAAATAAACAAATAAATAAATAAATAAATAAACAAACATGGCAGGCATCACTGAGAGGTCAAATAAAAGTGAGGAGGAACACTGCCCCCTGTTGAACTTGCAGTGTTTGGCTCAAATAGTAGTGAATCAGTTCAAAAACTAAAATAAATTTAAATTTGTGTTAAAAAGATTAATCTCACTGTTGATAGACACTAAAACCACAGTCATGACAAAAAAAATGCTGATTACATAAAGATACACCAACTAAAACATAAAAACCACCACATGATGGTAACAAAACAAAAACCTGCATAAATCCTGTCAGTGCCTTCACTTTTGTAGTGGTCTGACACAGACAGTCTACTCAGGGTTTATGCTCTGCTCACCTGAGGAGATCAATAAGTTCCTTGTTCTAACAGAAAGGGAAGGGTAGGTTAATGAATGTAGACATGATGCTGCTGATCCACATCTAACACCCCAGGCAGAGAAAAAGATGCTCTTACAGCTTGACAACAGATCTAGTGTGGAGTTAAAGCATCATTTCAGAGACAGTTCCTGAAGCAAACGCTCCATTTTATCATATAGTGCTCCTTGTTTAATCTTTTAAAGATGTCCCCTTGATACACAAACAGAGCACATGAGCTGTAAGATTTCAAGTATGCATCGTATTTCTACTGACTCGAATCTAGAAGTATAGAAAAGGAGCTGCATCATGAAGTTTTTGTTTAGTGAACAGAAAATAATCATAGATCTCATGAAACTAATTCTGCAGATTCAGGATTCAGTGGTTGAAGGACAAAAATATGATTTAAGAGTTTGTGACTGACAGCTCAGAGTAAATTTAGGCTGACGGCTGTCAAACACAGGCAGTCTTCACTAATGTTATACCCAAGATTCAGGTTCTGCAAACTATGACATAACCTGTGTGAAACGTTTTCTTTTTGTTTATTTAGTTTGCAGAAATGACTAATAATGTGCTGTGAGTTTTCTCAGTTTTGACCTAAGATGAACAGGCGGTTATACAAACCGGATATTTGTGGCTGGAAAAAGCGATCCCACAGCAGTTTTATAGCTGCACCGCATTTATAAATTTGTAAGGGTCAGCCCATTTAGAATCTGATCAGTATAGAGGACTGAAAGCGTGTGCATTATTCTTCTTAATGGTCTTAGTTGATCATTAAATATCAGCGGTTTACTGTAAATATAGCTTTATTTGTCCCCATAGGGAAACTGGTTTGCAGCATTGTCAGCAGGCATTTACATAAAGGACATAACATATAAACGTACAAACATGACATTAACATCCATCATTTAACGGCAAAGAAGTTTGAGCTCAGTAATTTATGATACCGTTTTATTATTTAATGATTTAATCGCGGGCAGCACGGTGGCGCAACTGGTAGAGCTGCTGCCTCTCAGCGAGCAGGTCCTTGGTTCAAACCCCGGTCCAGGGGCCTTTCTGGGTGGAGTTTGTATGTTCTCTCCGTGCATGCGTGGGTTTTCTCCGGGTGCTCCGGTTTCCTCCCACAGACCAAAAACATGCATGTTAGGCTGATTGGCAACTCTAAATTGTCCCTAGGTGTGAGTGAGAGAGTGAATGGTTGTTTGTCTCTATGTGTCCCTGTGATGGACTTGCAACCCATCCAGGGTGTACCCCGCCCCTCGCACAGTGATTGCTGGACATGGGCACCGGCGACCCCCGTGACCCAAAAAAGAATAAGCGGGTAAAGATAATGGATGGATGGATGGATGGATAAACTGGAACCAATATCAATCAACCTTTATTTAGACAGGTAAATCCCATTGAGCCTCGAGGACTCATTTACAAGAGAGACCTGATTTCAACAAAGAAAGATGACAATAATGGACAACAACAATAAACAATTATAAAAAGTCATACTGCAGGGTTTTTTTTGTTTTGTTTTGTTTTGTTTTTACAAATAGGATGGCTAAAAAGAAAAGGTAACAAAACAAACAAACAAAAAAAAAAAAAACAGCTAGATTCTAAGGCGAATGTAGAAAACTAAAAACAGGAACAATATCCACCTACTAACCACACACAACACACCAAGAAAATCAGTTTGTAATAAATATTTTAAAATCAATGAGCTTAGTTTTGTTTTTTTTATTTTTTTTTTAAGTGTACAAAATTTGCAATTGGATAAACCAAAAATACACTGGACCGCTAAATATTCTAAACTTTTCAAAATATTAATATTCCAGGATTCCTTTCGAGCTTATGTGGGTGAGTTTAAAAGCCCTCCCAATCTCCTCCAGTCTATTTAGTGATGTGACTTCCAAACAGAGGCCAGAGGAATATATAGGCTGTCTCAGTGTCTGTAGACTTTGTTTACTTTTGACTGAAGCAGAGACATTCTGGATCGGTGCCAGGATAAAACGTGAAATCAGCGGCCTCACACTTTTCCCACAGCCTTTGACCAGCAGCATCTAATACAAGGGCAAGTTCCCTTGGAAAGGAGAGTGGCCTGTTGTTTGGAAACCCTGAATGGCAGCTCAGTTCTCACAGTGACATTAGCATACTCCAGTTGTTTGTAGTCTTATTTTTTTAAGACAGGCAGGGGAGACAGCGCTGCCCTCTCCTGGCTCAAAATAGACCATGAATTACATTAAAGGTGGAGAGCAAGCATTGAAACAACTTTGAATACCAAACAGAGGAGAACACTGAAGGGCACAGACTGAATGAAAATCAAATATATCCCAGTGTGTCCCTTTTAAATCAAGGACATATTTTGATGATTACCATCCTGCAGCACTTTTTGCACTCTCACTGCAAAAAGTTAAGTAGCGGTGCTTCAGTAGATGAGTAGTTTCTTGTAACAAGTGCCCTTACCAGACTGATCATTCATCATGCGGATGGCTTTAGCTTTGGCCAGCTCCAGTGCCGTGACCCATCTCTGCCGCTCCACTTCAGTGCTCGCCTTCAGATGGTAAGTGCGACCGCCACTGCTCAGCACAATATTGCAGGCGTCTTCCGTGTCTATGTGCGCTGTGGCCAAGTTGATCGTTCCCCGACACGTATGAGCCATCTCTGCCTGTGTTCTGCAGAAAAGGAACAAAATATTCCACAGAAAGCGTGGATTACATCAGTGCCATAACAAGTGTTTGTCCTTCAATCAATTCAAATGACGTTCCTCTGACTCTGAAAACAATCTGGGAAGCACTGAGGTCTGCCACAGAAATCTTATTAGTTTCTCTGAAAGTAAAACAGCTGTACAACAGGTCATTTTACTGAGTGCATCATATTGAAAGCACACATATGAGACTTAAGCCAGCATTAGGTCATTTTAAACAACTGGATTTATTTTATTCATACGACACAATCTTAATGCCCTGCTGTTAGTGTGGAACAGAGGCTATCCACAAGACCAACTGTGCACCATCAGTGGGCCTTGGTAGTCTAGATAACAAGGCCATTGTGCGACTGCTGGCTTCTTTGGTGAACACAACTAAACAATGAATAGCAGCATAGACAAAGAGAGAACAGAGTGTGAGAACATAAAAACAAAAGAGCGATAGTGGAGGCAGAGCAACACAGCAAAACAAAACAAAAAAAAAGCAGAACAAAGTTCTTTGGCAAAGGTCTTTGAAAATTTGTCATCAAGGAGACATGCTGGTCCATTTCTGACCCGTGGCTTAGCCTCCTTGACCCTGACTGAGCTCCTGGTTTCTCTTGAGGCTTTTTCAATTTCACTTATCAAAATAGTTGCACACAAATCTTGTTTAAAAACTTAATTAGGAGATAGACCATAGCATAATTATACTAAATTAAATGCTCCATATTTGTCCTTCTACAATACCATTTACATTTTACACATGCAGCCGTCTCATTTATTCCTTGAAAATCTAAATTGCTATGGTGTTACAATTTGCATAAATTTTCAAACCAATAAACAACTGATTGTTTAGTAAATAAAAGAATTTACCAGCAACTGAAAAAAAGAATATAATTGTTTGCATAACATTTATGCCTTGCATGTTAAATTATAAAAATAATTATTATTAACATACTAAATGCCAAAACATCCTATTTTCTCATTTTTAAAAAAGTTAGGCAACCTTGATTTTTATGCCAGAAGAGGAATTTAAAATAGTTAAAGGAGGTGCAAATATTAATAAGACCTGAAGGTAAATTTCTTGCCTAAACTGGTTGACAAGTCAATAACATCTTCGACGGCACACCGGAGAGGAAGATTTTTTGGAAAATATGTAACTATTTCAAAATTAAAACGAAAAATAGAGCCAAGATCAAAAACCAAAACTAAATGGTGGCAATATTTGGACCTTCAGGCAATATTGCAATAAAACACACATGATTTTGTAAAGAAGCCTCAGGAACACTGCAAACAGCATGCTGTGAACTTAGCAGAAATCTTTTGTGCTTCTAAAAACCATATCTAAATGAGATGCAGAAAAGCTGCCACTTTCTCTGAACCCAAATCAGTTCTGATGTTCTGAGGCAAAGTGGAAAGCTGCCTCCGAGGTCTGACAAATCAAAATTTGCAACAGCATTTGGTAATTATGGACCCTGCGTCTTCCAGGCTTTTAGGGGTTAAAAGGCCATCTGGCTTGTGATCAGTACAGTTAAAAAGCCAGCATCTGTGAGCAGTACAGATGTGCATTAGTGCTTATAATGAGCTGAACTTATAAATCAGTAAAACCAATGTGCAAGTCATTAATGCTCATTTTATTAATGCTAAACAGAAAATAGGTTTTGGAGCAACACAATGTTGCCTTGCAGATATCGTAACTATTTTTTGTAAGAAAATACCAAAACCGACTGCTGAATTACAGCTGCTTGGTATCAGTCTGGATGCTACAATAAAAGAATTTTACAGCAATGGTTCCCAAAGCTGTGGTCAGGACCCCACTGCAGGTCATGAGACACCAAATGGGGGTCCTTAGATAATCACCGTATATCAAATTAAGTTTAATATTTATTGTTTATGGCATTTTATAAAACAAATTTTCACATTGTTACAAAATGTAAAAACAGTAGTCATAAATTAATAAAAATAACAGTTTGATGATGTAATGATTGCGTTGTCATTTTGCTCTTGTTTAACATGTTTTTTTTAGCCATATGTGAAGTGACAAGCCTTGCTCACTAGAATTTTACGGGTCAGAAGCAAAAGCACTTGGAAAATCACCGTCTCCCATTAAGCAACAATAGGTTAACTTTTTCCTACAAAAACTTTTGCAACTCCCTTGTTTCTAAAAGGTATGTTGCTGCTAAACAAAGAAGTGTTGCAGTGGTGATCAATCTTTAGAAACAATTGTTGGCAAAAGAACAACAAATCAAATCTGAACATAAACAAAATAATCATATCCATTGAATTTGTACGTTATAAGTTACAGCTTCAAAACATTCTTTAAATCACTGCATTATGAAATACAACATAATGCAGTGATTTAAAGAATATTTTGAAGTTGAACATACGCTAAGACCTCTTTGTCACACACTCCTTTGCTTGTAAACAGGCTTTTTAAAGCATGCAGTCATGCCATCATGTCGATCCCTGTGTGGATTTCACATTCTTTTAGCCATCTCCAACTGAATTCAATTCAGTTTATTTATATAGCGCCAGTCACAACAGAAGTCGTCTCTGAACAGAAACATTCATATTTAAAAAAATATTAATTTAACATTATTTATCTGAGGAGCAGACTGCTTTGAGATAATGTTAAATTATTATTTTTAAACATGAATGTTAAAATAATAATGAGCCATCAATGAAACAGGAAGGTGCCGCTGAGTAAGATTGCTCTTCTACAAACGTCACTCCCGGCAGACAACAATGTGGTTTTTGCTTTACAAAGGTTAAAGTGAATTTATAAATTTTGCCAGGCAGTGACTTCCCTTACACAACCTCCACAGACTCAAGTCTTGTTATCATGCCAAACAAGAACAAGTGCTTCAGTGTACCACTCTTCTGCTGGAACTTGGTGCACATCAGTTCTGCAGACAGCACTGGACCGGGGCCATGCGAAGCAGCGTGGAAAGCAGGCGGGGATCCTGAACAATCGTTTCATAGCTTCGTAAAGCTGAACTCAGCTGCAAAGTCCTGGATGTAAAGTGGGTCAGCAAAGTGACAGAATGTGCTGCTGATGAGTAAGACGAGATGCATGCTGATCACTACTGCCCTGTGGGGAGGCGAGGCCATGCAGAGGCCATGAAGCAACACAGTTAAGAAAAAGCTGGGAAATAGAGATATGAACTATGGGGGTCAGAGACAGTGATAGAAGAGGTGGGAAAAGTGCAGGAGTGGAACAAAGGGCATGAGAGCAGTTTTGCTTGGTGTGCCCCAACAGGTGAGAATTGCAGAGCTTTACCTGTCTGTGCCCTGTGAACACATCCTCAAAAAACATAAATCCACCGATCTGGAGCATGTAATGACAAAACAACTTGTCAACAGCAAAGCTCACATAGCCACAAGCATGAAAACAGACGGGGATAAGAAATTTGACTAAGTAATCAGAGCATGAGTGTAGATAGGTTTTGTTTTGGCTGTAGGCTGTTTTGTCACAAGACATGGAGGGAAAAAGCCAGAGAAATGTCAAAAGACTGTGCTGAAAATGGAACAGAAACATGACCCATAAATAACAAGCTCATGTTCCTGCAACAAGGACAGCCAGACATAACCTGCTGATAAAAAAATAAATTAACTGAAATGGTGACGAGTTAAAAACGTGGTCCGATTCTCTGCTCACTTTTATACCACTCAGCAGCTTTCACCTACTCAAAGAAATGCCCCAAGACCACCCAACGTGAGACAGTTTGACATGCATTTGACTACTTTGTAGCCTGGTGCTAAGAGCAAGCAAGAGCACTTTAACAAGATTGGATCACAGTAGCCACTGCTTGCTCCAGCCACTCTGCTGACATGTCAGCCCGACAGGATCCAGTCCCCCTGCCTTCAGTTGACCCCAAAATTGGCATGCTCGCCCTCCCTGCCCCCAGGAGCTGAGCATACAAACACCAACATCATAACCTGATACACAGGCAGTGGTAAACACCTGGTGAGCACTTAAACTGATACTATCTGGTTACTCTCCTGCATCAACTGAAGGAAATGTGGACAGCCTGGGCAAAAGTTCACCGATATGGCAGCTCCTTTTGCACTGAAAGCTTTAATGCCCTGTAATCTCTCCTAAAACACCAAGCTGGATTTGCATTAAGTGGTTAGTAAGTTGTGTTGAGACTATTAAAACCGGGAGGAAAAGTCAATTAAGAAATGAAATATTAATGAACTTCAGACGAGGAAGAAGGATAAAAGTCTGGTCATGTGTCGCACAAGACTGTGTGATCGGAGCTAAAACGAAGCTCGACACAAAGCTGATGCAACGTAAAGAACGGCAAGACTTGCAGTTTAAGAGCAATCAATGCCAAATGCAATTTTACATCGCCATTAAACTCAGTACGCTTTAGCTTGCGCAACAACTGCTGAGTGCGTCAGTCTATTCACAGAGTCAAAGCATTGATTTTAGCTGAGTCCAAGTCACTTATTCAACAAAAACAAGAATTTAGGGATTAAAGCGGTTCATTGGATAAATGATGAAAACTCTAAATGGCATACAAGTCACAGTCAATTAGAAATGCAAGATAAGCTTGTAAAAACATGTAAACAGATATTGAACAGTTTCATTAAAACTACTGATTTGATCATACAGTGCTGCAAACAATCTAATCTAAGCTGTCAGGTCTTTATAGTGTTAATCTCATGATGTTTGATTGCAATATTATGAACGGAGATCCAAGTGGCACAGTCAGACCCTCAAAGAGATATTTTAAACAAGCTTGTGAAATATACTTTAAGAAAAAAAGTAGGCAAAAATCGGCATGCTTTCAAGTTAGAGAATGGAATAGGATTGCAGACAAACGAAACAAGCTAAAAGATGTTCAGACCAGCATGACAAGAAGAGCAATCTTTCACCCTCTGGAGCAAGATCTTCAAAACTTCAAAATCTCATAGCAGCTCAAATAAACTCTTGAAGAATGGGCTTGGTGCAGCACCATGTTGCGAAACACAAACAGATTTCACATCTCAGGGAAAGACGGTGCAGTGTCAAAACCCACAAGATACAGTGTAGCATCTGCTCAAACTGCAATAAATATTTGAGGGTTTAGCTTGTTTTATACGGTGAAGATAAGTAAAGTAAAGTAAAGTGCTGTGTGTTGTCATCATTGTATGTTCCCATATAACGACGAAATTGGTTCCAAGCACTTAACCCATTGCACCTGGGATACACCCAGGTGGAGCAGTGGGCAGCTGTCTTGCTCAGAGACACCACATGTGGAAATGGCTGCGGATCGAGCCTGGGAATTTCGGGTCCCGAGTCGGCTGCCCTGCCTCTACCCCATCTCGGTCCCCAGATGTGCTCTTCTTTGACTCTGGTCTGAGAATTGGGTAATTTGGCTACTCTGTCAAAAATGTCATTCTTTAGATTGAGAAAATGTTGACAGTTATGAGCAGTTAATGTTTTACTATTTCAATAACTTAAAAAAATACTCCTTCACAAAAATAAAATGAATAAGAACTGCAATAGGGGCAAATGAGTCTCAGCTGATCGGCTGAGATTTAATAATAATAATAATAATAATGTCATCACAATGTCAGCACTGTATGTTTCCATACAATGGCGAAATTAGTCTCTGCATTTAACCCATCCACCACCAGGTGGTGCAGTGGGCAGCTATTGAAGGCGCCCGGGGGGGCATTTTGGGGATGAGACGTGCTGCCCAGAGATGCCACGTGATGTGCAGTGACTGGGGATTGAACCTGGGACTTTCGGGTCCCAAGCCGGCTGCCCTGCCTCTACACCATCTCGGCCCATTTGGCTGAAATAACTACAAGAATCTAAACAAGAAAGCTAAAGTGCAAATGTTAAAATGAGCTAATGAAGTATTTACTCACACTAACATAAAACAGTTTGAATTTAAACTGTTATAACGAAAATCTGATTTTTTTTTTAAAGAGATCCTCAGCTTGCCAAGACAGTTGTCTATTAAATGGATAACTACTTAGCGCTCTAACTCTAAAATAACCTAATTCAATAAAACTATCCATTTAAGTGTAAAAGCAGCTGCTGTAAACTTAAGCATATTTTAAATTTTGCACCCAACGTGTTCCTGGGACAACCGCAATAAAGCATGCAGCAGAAAGGGTATATTTGGGAGGCAACACAAAATGCATCCATTGACATGGCGTGAAAACACAATTAACAAGCTGTCACTGCTCTGACTGCTTCCTTTTGACTTTGCTGACAATACGTGCAGACAGTTGTGGAGAGAAGGCACACACAAAGCATGAAGTCAGACTTGTACAATGTGCTCTGCCAGGAAGTCATCGGTGGAGGGTGGTGTGCTTCAATCCCTTTGTGCTCCGATGTCAACAGGATAGCTTTACTTCAGAGACAGCTGTCACCTTACAACATAATGGACTATTAATGGTGGCAGAAGTAAAAGGCGTCTTTCCTTTCACCACAAGCCCAAACAGCAGAACTTTGGCTACTCTCCCTCTCAGCAAAGTAAAGCTTTGATGGAAAGAAGAAAATAATGGACTGCTCTTGTGGCAACCTATGCAGAATGAAATGGGTTTTGATCGTGAGTATAATTGGAAGGAAATGCAAAAAAAAAAATAATGAAAAATGCTCGTTAACTGTGCGGGGGAGCTTAATGCATTAACGTTTGAAATCAGGAGATCAAACCACCAAGTTGACATGACAGGTTACATTTGAAAGATAGTTTATATTATCGCTTTAGGCTAGAGGGTAGAAGAATAATTGTTATTGCTTTATTGATTCGTGAAAACATTTAAATTTTCCAGTTTTACCATCAGCAGGGGAACCATTAATTAAGAAACTGGAACAAATACTGTCGGAGAAAATACTCGGTTTGTCCCTTTATGTGGATAAAGTGTCCAAAACCTCTAAGGTTTAGACATAATAACTTTGTCAGTACAGCTTAGTACAAAAATTAAGATGTGAAAATACTGAGAGAGTACCAAGAGCAGAGGCTGATTATTTTTATGTTGCAAGACTCAAGCAATGAAAGTAAGGAAAAGTATCTGTGTTTGCATGAAATATTGTGAAAAATATAGATTTCCAAAGCTTTTGGACAAACTTCAGACTGAACACAACTTTGTAAAAAGTGTAAGATTTATCATTATCATGCACATGGTTTGCGTCCAAAATAACTTTCTAAAACTAAAATATGTGATGCAAGCAGGGTTGTATTGGCATTTAATTGAAAATAAAATAAAATAAACGCCATGGAGTATGCCGTTTGCAGAAATCAGATTGTCTGGTGGCTCCTCAGACTGAAGAAGTCCTTTGGATGAAGGATGAAACGCGTCCAGATGACTTGACTGAACAGTGTTGGATTTTTACCTGGATTATTAAGTTTTAAGGTGGAAAAAAAATAAAGTTTTCACTGTTTGACCACATTTTAAACTGTTTACAATCAAAGGGTGAACAGCACTTAATTAACCTTTTAAAAACTTTATAAAAGTCATTTTAAAAATAGGATTCTTCTGTGCTGAAGGAACGCCTGTCACCTGTGGATGAGGTGTGCATCATGACCCTCCCTTTGTTTGTTTCCTCCTCACCCACACCTGTGGAAACATGACCTCACAAGAAGAAGCACCTGAGCCACAGGTGTCTGTCTGTCTGTGGTAGATCTAATGTTCTCTCATGGCTGGCAGCTGTGAGGACAGAATGATGATGATGGCCACCACTTACTGGACTGTGTCCATTAACAGCAATCAGAGGTTAATGTCAGTGAAGCCAGCATGAATGAATAAACTTAAAAGACAGCTTAAAGTTATTGCTGGAAACTGCGACGCTTACAGAAAAAGCAGCGGCTGAAATGAGGTTCTTGCTGCCAATAAAACACATTAAACATTATTAAAGAAGCCACATGACAGCGGAGCAGAAAGCTGATGAGCTTCAATCTCCCTGACAGACAGGAGGCTAACGAGCTAGCTTAGTTTGCTATAGCTAACGCCTGCAACCGTTTGTTTCCTGCACTTTATTAACTTATAATATACGTTGTTGCGTCTTAATCTATCGGTGTTTGAGCCTTTCCGCGGCCTGCAGCCATAAAGGTTGAGCCTCCGTCAGCCGGAGGTAAACACAGCCGCCCCTGGTGTTTGACAGCTAGCTTTAGCCAGCTGAGGGAGCCAGCTGTCAAATATGAGCCGCTCCGCGCGCGCATTTATTTTACTCCATCACTCCGTCGGATTTTGTATTTATTTATTTATTTTTACCTGTAATACGACAGGAGGCCGTTGCTGAGGACGAACCATCGCCGCTGGTACCCTTTCAGGTAGTTGGTCCATTTAAAGAGCCAGCCTTTGTAAGTGTCCGACCCCGGAGCCGGGGCCGCGGTGGAGGCGGATGAGCCCTTCCCTTGCTCGCTCATCCTCAGCTCCGCCGCACGCCAGCACGCGCAGGATCAACCGTGGGGCCAGCGGAGACTGGGAGTCCGGTGAAACGACTATCAGGGGGGTGGCGAGGAGGTGCGCACTGGCGGAGCTCAACGGAGGAGGAGGTCCAGTCGCGGAGTCCGTTTCACATGACGCCGGAGGAAGATCGACACGGAGCTGACACCAAAACAGATGTTACCACATCCACCTCTGGTCAGCTGGCCCCGCAGGTGCGGGTGATTGGACGGGAATGCTCGCGCGCTCCTTGAGTTCAAGTCTGTGAGTCAGCCCTGCACCACGTGACTCTGTTATCAACACGCTCCTAAACTCGTCATTGCGGAGCTGCAGGCAGTCAGGTAAAGGTAAATGATCTCAGCAGATGTTATGAACGCTCTGCTTATCCACTGACACGAGTCAATTATTAATGAGAATATCTAACAAGGTTAAGTCGGGCACTCTGGGTTCTTCTTTGTTGAATATCCAAAAGACTTCTTCAGTCAGACTGAAGAAGTCTTTTGGATAAAAGACGAAACGTTTCAGCAAAGAACCGTCCAGAAGACCAGACTTAACCAGTGACCAGTCTTGACCAGTCTATTGAGCATGCATCATCTAGAATAATTCTCTGAAAGCATGATGATGGCGCCTGTTTAAAAGCAGTGCTCTGTTGACTTGTAAAGATCAATGTCTCTGTCTAACACAGAATGAAAAGCTGTTAATAAATTGCATTAACTGCTAATTATTAACAGCAGGACCATAAACCACCTCTGGAATTCCTGTTAGCCTATAGTCAAAATACCTGCTGTGATAAAGAGCAACCGGTCTGACAATTAAACACAAATTTGCCTTTGTTTAATTTACACAGCAGGTTGCAAAATCCTTCTCTTTCTATTTAGTTGCCTTGGCAACCTGTAATTTAAATTTGTTAATAATGTGTTTATTGGTAAGAAATCAATATGAGTTACAGCAGCATGAGGTTTGCCTCCATGAGCCCAGTCCATTTAACGATTTTATTTTTTTGTCCTTTATGACAAAACTGCTGCAGCTCCTTCAGGTTGAGTGCTGCTTGTTGACAACAATCTTTAAATAAAACCAGATGTTCTCAGCTGGATTCAGGTTAGCCTTAAATCTCTGGAGTGTTGCTTCATCAGATCATTGTCCTGGAAGGCGAATGTCTCAAATCTCTAGAAATTCCCAACAAGTTCTGCTAATTTCTTCCTTATTTACTCCATCGCTCTCTTACAGGTTTTTGAAATACAATCCCACAGCATGATGCTGCCACCACCATGCTTTACTGTTCTCAGCATGATAAGAGGTGGAAACATTTCCTGAGACGTGTTGTTGTTGATGGCCTAAAAGTGATTTATTTAGTCTCATTTGACCACAGCTCATTCTTCCACATTTGGAAGAAACCAATAGGTGCTGGCTTTTTCCTGCCACTCTTCCATGAAGCTCATCTGTTCAGCTCATGTAGTCCTGTACACAAATCCTCCCAGGGTTATCCTTGGCCTGGATGCTTCTGTGATTTTCCCCCTCCTTGTTCAGTCAGTCAGTTTGATGGGTGAACATCTCTTGGCATGTTTGCTGTGGTGCCACAATCGTTCATTTTCCTAATAATGGATTTAATGACACTCCATGGTTTAGGGTTCAGAATACACCTGTTTTTGGAAACCAACTCTAGTCTGTTCTTGACAACTTTGTTTCTGACCTGTGTGAACGGTTCCTTGGCCTTCATGCTGTCTTGCTTGGTCATAGCCCTCACTGTGTAAGATGTTATGATATGGATGTTGTTGCAACAAGTGTTTATCATTTGTCAGGTTTTAAAGTTTCACACTTGGATTGTTTGCAGGTGGATCTTTCTAACAAATTATGTGGCTTCTGAATGTGATCATAGGGGTTTACAGTTTTATATTTTTCTTTTATTTAAAACATGTTCCCCCCAGTCAACTTTATTAAGCATACTTAATGTTTTGGGAGAAATTTTTTTTTTGATGAAATTAACAAATAAATCCAGGACAATAAATAGTTTGTTGTACAATAACAAAACTGAAATATTACCAACAGGGATGAATATTTTTGCAACCCACTGTGTGTTCATGTAATGCAAAATACCTCTTTTCATAAATAATTCAATATAAAATAAAATATGTATTTGTTTTATTATTAATTTACAGTCATCTAAAAAAATTAAAATAGTAACCTTAAACCTCTTAGAACATCTTGTCTTTCTGTATTAATATTTTTCATCTTAAATCGAAAATGTTTGTTAGCTCTGACTCCTAATGACAATGTTTGGCCACTAGATGGCAGTGTTGTCAAAATGAAAATGAAATGGTGTGCCTGAACTGATGTACTGTAATCACAACCAGCTTCTCAATAGCATTTATTAATTCCTCATGTGTCAAAAAAGAGCTACTAATACCATAAAAATAAAGACAATGTTTTAAAATCTTTTTAAAAAATGATGGTAGCCCTTTTTATTTAGAAATGCACACACGAACAAACGGATGGGAACTCATGCTACACACTGTCCCTTTCTCATATCTCTGCTACATATTCCTCTTATTTTTTCTTTTCATTCTTTTTCTTTTTTGTACCACAGGAAGAAAAAAATCATCAAGGCAACCATCTGGCCTGACTGAAGGGGTTAGCACTACATTTGCAGAAAACCATGAGCTTGTGCTCTCACATGCCTGTGAATAAATGATCGCATTCATCCACACTCAGCTGCTCACAATCCATGAAATACAAAAATTAAACACAGTCACATTTTCACATCAGTGCAATTAAACCCTGACCTGTTGGCTCTACCAACAAAAGCATGCAAGCTAACCACTTTAAACCGTTCTTATGTACAAGAGGTTAGACATATTCACAAAGTAACCTACTTTGGCCTATTTAAAGGAAAAAATAAATCACAACATTATATTTTAGTATTCAGATAGGGATATTAAAGCGTTATCACTGCATCTGTGAAGGGGCATTTTGTGGGAAATATGGAGCTCTGGTGACTTATTTTTGCAGGATGTTTGTGTGCAGGTGGATTCCAGCGACTGCGTGAGGCATTTTTTAATATAGCATAGTGGTAGACAATCAGTTGGGACATCGCTGTGGGATTTTATTGCTCCATTTTAATCCAAAGCTTCAACATCTTGCCATTAGCTTGTCTGAATGTCAGCTATCAAACCTGCCTGTCACTATCTCCTTCACCTCCTCTCTCACACACACCTGCCTCTGTGGAAACCGTCACTAAATCCTTCTCTAACCAGAACCTTTTTCTAATATATAAACTCTGAAACTACACTTTAATTGTGTAAGGTTTTGCTCCCCATAAAGCTGCCACACAAAACAAGTAAATAAAGGATACAAACAACCAGGTTCCTGTTTTAGGCTTCCTGCGTTTCCCCCAGATCCCCAGATTTAATGCACTCATCCGAAACAGAGACTGAGTGAGGAGAGGGAGCAGATTAAAGCCCCACAGTACATCATAATAAGGGACTGCAGTACTTTTTGCAGCAAGACAACCTTAAAACACCCTTGGTCTGAACAAACAATTTTCACTGTGGACCAAATTTGTAACAGGGACTATAAGAGGAAAATATACAAGCTACCTTTTTGGATCTAAAATAAAACACAACCTAATTATATTTATCTATGTACATTTGGAGATAACCTTTGTGGTTGTTGTTTTTAAACATTATCCTTTCACCGTGTGGGTCACTGGCCTCATGTCCTCAATAAATCCAAGCGTTAGCTTCTGTTTTTGACCTTGCTGAATGAGACAAATTTAAAAGGAAGACTCAATTAGTATTGCTGCCTTTCTGGTTTAAATCCTACAAGCACAGCCTCCATGTTTCCAGGCCCAGTTGCAGACCTGATATATTTAATGTTATATGCTGTGTTATACTGGGAAGCACAGCCTGAACGGTTGAGCTGTCAAGCTGATGTGAGACAAACTATAACTGTGCTGTGCTCATCGTTTTGTTTACCCCTGCCTTCCCTTCTCCTTCCTTGTTTCCACACAGTGGGAATTTGAACAAGAAGTGGGTGGATGACCACGAGTGAATGTTAGTTGTTTAGTCTTTTACAGCGCAATACACCTCTTTATGAAAAATCAGCTCAGTTAAGCAGGAGGCCACAGGGTATTTTTCCAGCCGTTATGATAAAAGTACATTTCTCCAGTGCTGCTCCACTCCAGGACTCGAGAGAGTGATGGGTGGAGGGAGTCCTCAGGGGTCACATGACGGTGCAGCGGTTCCTCTGTAAAGCCCCCTGCAGACGGATGGAGGTGTGGTTCTGGCGCATGCCCCGTGCCACAGCGATGCCCAGCAGCTCTTTGAAGAGCAGGACTACGTGCCAGTTGAACTTGGCAGAGCACTCCACGTAACCGCACTTCCAGGTCTTCTTCACCAGGACTGACACCGCCCTGCGGGGCATGAAGCGCTGACGCTGCAAATCTCTCTTGTTGCCCACCACCAGGATGGGGACCTCGCTGCTGCTGCCTTCCCTGCAGAGAAAATGTGAGGACAATTTATTTTTAGAGACCTGCTATCATCGTGGTGTTTGGCATTGTGTGTGCTGTGCGTGCTTCAGAGGTGTGTGGGGGTAGACTGAAGGATTAGAGCTCACAGGCTCAAGTGGCCTCCTGCAGAAGCTGGCTTGAGGCAATGTTAGACATAAAAACGCATGGCAAGCAAGAAGGAGTCGTGAATTTTGGCGCTTAAGGCATGTTTTTGCAAATGTGAGTCACACTAAAAACGTCTGTAGGACATTCACATCAAGTGCAATAACATCTGATTTCTGCTGTGACCTCAGCGGGTAAGTGAAATTTGAAGCATTTGTCTTCATGTAACATAACTGAAGGGTACAGAATATTAAAATAATCCTTGAAGTGAAGCCAAATTCACCGACAGGTGTTAAACAGGATCATGAATCTCGGATGACAGAGGCAAGGCAGACATTTAAAACTATCAAAGCTGCAGCTTTATCAACTAAACCGTTCCTCTTTTGTTAAATAAAGGTTAGTGTCGTTGTCTGATAAGGATTTGCATATTTCCACAGACAGACCAGCAGCTTGCATGCAGAGAGAGCGGGAGAGAGAAAAGTACAGTTTCAAACTCTGAGCTGAAGTAAAAAAAAAAACACATTTTTTTCTTTACTTTCACATACTGCCCTCACAGAGGCTTGAGAAATCTTGAGTATTTTTTTTATAGAGGGAGAAGTTGTGCATGCATGTGTGCATAAAAACTTGGTGGAAGTGAAGTTAGTGCAGAACACTGTCAAAAGCTTGGAAAACTTTAAAAATAGGACAGGAATAAAAAAAAAAAAGCCTTCACTTTGGTTTCCAAAAGATTTCTGACAAGCTTGATCATTTCAACCAACATTTTTATCCCTTCCTGGTGGGAACTAATGAAAATAGACCAGAAAACTCCATTACTTGTGTTTTCATGTCCCCTCTCAGCTGGTTTTGTGTCTTTTTATTCTCCGTCTGAACCAGTGATTGCATATTACTCCTGTTTCAGATTATTCTTGCATTCTGCTGTCAATAATGAGGTTTCTGTCTTGGACCATAAACGTGGAGCTCCAGGAAAGTAGTGATGAACTGTGCAAAGGCCGTTTGGTCATGTACAACACAGCAAACAAATGAAGCTCTCAAATCTACCTCTCTATATGTAAATATATTCAGGTTCACCCGGACTGAGGATGATAGAGCAGATTTCTCTTTGGTCTTTTTTATACCTTTAGCTCCTCGCTGTGGTTCTCAACTCGTGTGTTCTTCTTTTTTGCTTCAGTCCAATAAAAGCAGAAATATCCTCAAAAGATTCCTTAAATCACCAGTGACATCTTAGACAGCACTTGCACTGTGGTGGTATCTCAAATGGCCTAACCAAGCTGTCAGGATTCTCAGCAGGAATAAGATAAATGAAAAGAAATCCCCACCACACAACTGTCACAGCAGTTGAAGGCTCTAAAAGTTTTATTATCTCCAAAAAGCTAAAGGATGGCAGGTTCACCAGTGAGCAGGAAGCACGTCAGAGGTTGTGTTTAGTCTCAGCGCTGGTTTACCTGTTCTCTACTATCTGCTGTCGGATCATTTTAACGTATTCAAAACTCTCCACACAGCAGATGTCGTACACCAGGATGTAGGCGTTGGCGTTGCGGACGCCTCTGCAGCGCAAATCAAGCCACTCCTAAAGGAACACAAACAGAAAAACACACATCAACACAAATGAGCAAGAGATTATTAGCTTGTTCATGTTGAAAAAAAGCAAAAGCAAAGTTTTCCTGTGCTGTTTTCAAAAGATATTAGAGTAAAAGTTCCTTTTACAGAAAAAAAAAAATGTGTTCATTAGCTGGTTGATAAAGTGCTTTGAAAATAGGAATCAGTCTAATAACTGCCCAAGTTGCTTTATTGTCATATTTTCAGTTTTATTCTTTTCATTCAGGCACTTTGAATTTATTTAATATTAAAATATTATGGTTATTAGAGTTGAGTTTATTAGTCTAAGTTAAAGTATGCAGGTAATACAGCTGTGCATATATGTGTGTGCATATTGTTTTAAAATAAAAAAAAGTGATGCTACCCCCATCTTGTTTCTGTGTAAAAAATAAAAAGTAACATTTAGAAAATGTGCAGGCTGATTCAAATGTCTTCTGTTTTATCACAACGTTGCTTTGAGGAATGTAAATGAGGCAGAAGGTTCTTTGAGTTTTCTCCAGATGTTTGTCTTGAAACTAACTTGTGCTGCAGTTTTTCAGGCACTTCTCTCGCTTTTCTTGGTTTTGTTAACCCTCCAACAGAGCAGCAGCTAGACATCTCATATAAATGCATCTCCCAGTTATGGACCAATTAATTTAAACCGGAACAGGTGAACAGTTGATAAAGGGGTAGTTCAGATCTTTTAACGTGACTTCAGTTTAGAGAAACAGATCTGATTCACAAACTAAACCACTAATCTGAGCAGGACCAAAACCAAAGTTAATTGCTGCAGTAGGCTATTTTTTTAAACTTGTTTTTGTCTCTCCTACAACATTATGTGCTCTCTGAACAAATATACAAATCACATGATGCTGTCATTTAGTGACTTTTTCCTTCTTGATAGGACTTCCAGTGGCTTCTTTCCCAGCTGAAGATTTGGGAACACTGATCATTTCATTAATGTTGAGGCTGCTGAATCTATCAGTCCATCTCATTAGCATGACTAATCGAAAATTTACTCAACTCCCAGCAGATTTATAACTTTCAGCAGCGTCAGCGTTGCCAGATGTATGACATGACGATGAACAATCAATAATTCTAAAAATCCCATATTGCATGATAATTTGACAGCTTCAATGTGACTAAATTAAATAACACAATGTGCTACTGGCACATAAGAGAGGAGGCAGACTGCGGAACAGTCCAGCATTGCCAATTTTGCATCCTTGTTGCTATTTTTAGCAAATTTTTAGACGCCTTTAGTAGCTATTAAAAAAAAGATTAATGACAAGTCTAGAGATGTTTTCTGGTGTTGAGCCTTTTGGAGACACGTTTTTTTTCAACGTTGGCTCCTGTCACCCGTCCCAAAGCACTGACGTTCCTCCAAGCTGCAGTCGGAACAGGAGATATTCACACCTCTCTCACATCCATGCCTGAAATGATTCACACATGCACCACGCTGATGCTCACTGGTCCACAGTGACGTGTAAATGTAATGTTTTTATGTCGTTAACAAATCACTGCACTAAAAAACACGACTGACTCTTTGTCCGGTACCAAACCCAGAAAAAGGAGGAGAGTTTGAACCGTCACATTAAAATTGACAGAAGGAAATATATGTGTAGTTCTGAACATATTTTCTGCAGTGCATGTTTTATTACCAGTTTAACCAGTTGGTGTTGCTAGTTACACTTCATGTGTGTAAAAATGTCAGTTGTGATTCTGAACGAAACTGTAAAAGCAATTTCTATGGCAGGTGTTTTATTATCAGAGGCATGCAGTGGTGGTGGGGCGGCATGGGGGCGCAGTTATTAGAGCTGCCGCCCCTCAGCAAGAAGGTCGCCGGATCGAATCCCAGCCGGGGGGGGGGGGGGGCCTGGATGGAGCTTGCATGTTTTCTCCGTGCATGTGTGGGTTTTCTCAAGGTACTCCGGTTTCCTTCCACAGACCAAAAACATGCATGTTAGTCTGATTAGTAACTCTAAAATGTCCCTAGGTGTGAGAGAGAGTGAATGGTTGTCTCCATGTGTCCCTGTAATGGACTGGAGACCTGTTCAGGGTGTCCCCCGTCTCTCGCACAGTGACTGCTGGACATGGGCACCAGTGACCCCCGCAACCCGAAAAGATAAAAGATGATGGATGGATGGATGGATTCAGTGGTGGTTTAAGGGGGTGGCTGATGTTAGTTCCTTGTACATCAACAAAGTACATGTGAAGATATTTTTGAGGCAGAAATCTGACACATGATTATTCAACATCAGCCCGTTCAGTCTGACTCATTTGATTTATTTATTTGTTTATTTTTCAAACTTTATAACAAAAATAAACAAAGTGATATAAAAAAAAAACAGTGTTAGCCAGCAGGATTGCACATAAATACACGCAAAATAAAACAAATACAACAAAAGTCAGTCTGACTGGAGTCTGTTTGGTGCAGGTGGGGGCTCGTCCTATTCTGCAGGTGTAATTTTCAGCTGTTTTGTTGGATTATTTAAAGATAAAAACACATCATATGCATTTATAATGGTGTACAGATCATTCGGAGACACTTTGAAACGCAAATAGGGTGCGTGCAATCATTTTCTTCCAAATACAATCATTTTAATCTCCTGGTACGATATGTCAACATTTCCCATCTGGCAACACAGATTGCTCACAGCACATGCAGACGTTCACAAGGTAACACAGACATTGTTTCATTTGAGGAAACAGCAACAAACTAAACAAGCAGAGTCAGTCAAACATGTAGAGGTTTATCAGCTAATGCGCTATTCTTTCACACCAATATGTCATTGCTGAGAAAATTGTTTTAAAAGTCTGAAAACATAAAAACAACCCTCGTTTGTCTATCGATGGCCTAGCCTGGACAAAGACCTCTGTCTCTTTCTCTGTACTTCATGACTGGGGTCACGGATGATTTGTACTAACTACTTTTTGACTGAACATCACTTTAGAAATGGCCAGACTATCCCTTTTCATAAATACTGAGCATAAATCTATGAAAATAATTAGCTTAGCTCATGATGGCAGCTAAGTGAACAGCGTGTGCTCTCTGTGTTCCTGATATGTTTCAAAGACCTGCTGGCTCGGCTGGAAGTGCAGAAAGTGAATAATTTCTCAGAACTGGAATGACTGTTGGAGCTTCACACTCTGAAATAAAGTCATTTGGTGCTCACCATCCCCCCTCACCCACCACCACCATCTCCCTCCCCATCAAAAAAACCCCCAACACTGTTAAACTCCTAGCTGCAGATGTTCAAGAACAATGACAAAGGATGCACAAACCGTCTGTCAGCAAAAGAAACGTGAACAGTTTTACTACTGTTGCTGCGTGGCTTTATTCTTCAGAGTATTTGCAGCGTGATAAACAGCACTTTGTTTGGTGCTAATGAGTTTCAAAATGTAATTAATGCACGCAGCACAAGTAGGTGCATTATTAGTGTCTTACTGGAGGACATGTGTTCTAATAAAAAAACATGGTGACCCATTCTTCTGAGCTCACCAACACCCTTACAGCCTCAAACAGCACACAAGATGAATTTGTAAACATTTGATCTGATAAAAGAGGGAAATGGGAGGGAAAGGCTTTGCTGAGGGAGGGAAATGAGCCTGAGAGAATGTTGCAAAGATGAAAAGGGCAGCGATGGATCAAGAGATGAGCCGACAGGGTGTCAACGTAACCTCTGGTGTTCCTGCACACTGCTAATGAGGGACCTGGGTGTCTGAGACCGCCCAGTTTAGCTCATTTAAATGAAATTCACTTCCACTGAATATGATACAACTGCTGCAATACAGAAACATTTCTTTAACCACATTTTAAGTAGAGTTAGTTTAAAGAAGTTATCACAGAATGAGTGTCTTAACCTTTAGGGAACTACACACGTTCATAGCTGAGAATAAGTTCTTTCTTTTCACAATATTTTCACTGAAACCATCTGTCATTTACAGCGTGACTTGAGAAAAAGCCCAGACGCAGATAAAAACTGCCGGCCTGGCTCCATCTAAAGGGAACAAAGTTAGCCTTCCAGCATCTTTAAAGTTAAATAATGCATTATTCATGCCCCTTTAGAGATTTAGGATTTTATTTTTTCGTTAGAACATGCCTTCATGCTTTTTTTAAAAAAGCTCTTCACACTGTACATTATGACAGCTGCTTCTTTTTATAACTCCCTTTGATGATGTAATTCAGTCCTTTTTGAAGTTTGGTTCCAATGGATGTGAGCAATCAATATCTCACCTGTTGTAGATAGCTCTTGGAACAACCACAGCTGAGAAAACTAGTGTTTAATCCAGATTGATGTGCTAGCAGCTAGTCCGCATACTGATTGCTGCTGGTTTAAAACCAATTCAACTGTCAAAAATCGATGTGTGATTCTTGTAAAATAAATTTTATACAGGAATTTGTTCCTTCCTGCTGCCTCATTAATTTTGTAATTTTTTTTTAATTATAATTTTTTTGCAGCTGTGGCAAAACAAATTAACCCTCTGGGGATTAATAAAGTTATCCATCCATCCATAAACTTTTAAATTTCTGTCAGAGATTCATTATACGGTTATTCCACCAGAAGCATGACAACATTATGATATTCATGTCAAACATAAGCCAGACTGAACGCTACAGCTAGCTGCTGCTGCCATTTTTGGAGACAGAATTCTACTTGTGCCATGAGAAACAGACAATGATGTAAATGTTTATGAAATAACATGCATAAACAGTTTGTTTTTTAAAACTTAATGAGCTTTTGCCCTATTTCTGTAGTTTCTTGCTTTTTTTCTTCTATACTAATTCTGTTGTTATGAACCTGGCTTCCAGTTTTATTTTGTAGTAGTTTCAGTTAATTTACTTCCTGTTTGCGTCCTGGTCTGTTTGGTGAATTTACGCCAAAGACGCAGTGTTTTGAATTTCTTGCCCTGCAACACATTTTATTAATCAAAATAACTTTTTTAAAGATGTAGTGGCATGCTTCGGCTTTGGAGTTCTGCCTTTGAGGT